TAATGGCGGCCGTAAATTCTCGGAAATTAAGGTCCAAAAACCACGAGTTTTAATGTTCGTAGAAAATTGAAATTTGGCAAGATATCTAGGAAATACCTAATGTGTACGAAAATGTAAAGAAATGGATATCGAGAATTTCATCATAGTGGCACTTTAACCATCCTTGTTCCTTTATGCTTTATTATTATCTCTTTGTTGTTTTCCTATCTTAGTCAACTACTATTTTCAGGTTTCTTTTAATTTGAAGGTAATTTTGTATGTAGCCAAACAACTCAAAATACCGCGACTGAGTTCCTGTAAAGGAGATCATTTTGGTCTCGTCCTAAGAATACTGTCATGTCCCCTCCCCCAATAGGGTCTTTCACGACGGATGTCATGCTATACATGGGGGTTTGACCGGGGGGACACAGAAAGAATACTTCGTGGCTAAAAATCAAGGACAAAAAAAAAACACCCTCGAGTCCCCATTGTTTACCAAGGAGAGCATGATGCAGAATGAGATGAAGACAGCATGGCACTGCCAACAACGTTTAAATGTTACAAGTTTAGTTTGAGCGTGACTGTGTCGCGTGACGACCCTTAGGTCGATGAAGCCTAGTGCTAAGTGCAGATACTAACCTTTTCGTTTCTCTCACAGAGAAATCTAAACGTCTGAGCTCTTTTGTGCATAAAAACACCGTCTAGAAGACCCGTCTCCACAGAACGGACCTCGATGGCCTTTTCTCCCCAACCCATGATCTGTCCAGAGCCTATATGAGCTAAAATCATAGTTGCACAAATATAAACGATGAGTCGGCAACTGCTGAATGCAACTAAGAGGTGGGATGGACCATTTGACTTTAGGGGGGAGGGGTTGGGTGATCTGGTGTAGGCATGATTGGTCCACCCCTACGAACGGGTACACATGCTCCCAGTTTCCCGACGGTAAAAGCGAGAAAAACCACAATTTTTTGACTTGGTTTGAGCACCTCAATGGCTAAGACTGAAGGTCACATCTACGTTCCCAGCACATACCGCACACTTTCGAAAACCGCTAAAAGATGCAAAGCAAAACTCATAGAAACACTGGAAATAACTCGAAAATTCTCCCTGAATAGCTTTGAGTCGCAAGAAAGACTAGATCATAAACTCACCGATAGCGTAAGGAGTTTCTCCCCATTGTAACACAGCATGTCTCACCAGCTCTCCGTTGGTATTGACATAAACGCCTTCATCTAAACGAAATTTACAAATAATAAAATTCCTAATTAAAGTTTCCTTTACTAAGCGATTTAATACAATGTAGTTGAACTCGTCAGCAGAATTTAAACTATTTAGAATGAAGGTTTGTACTTACTGTTAAAACACAAAAGAAGTTCCAAACCACTCGAACCTGAAGTAGAATGAAAACAGTTACATACAGTCGTTCACTTTGAACCCCATTAACCTTATTTATTACTTATAGAGCGGTTTTCATTTTGAGTGTCGAGAAGTAATTAGTTTTGCACTTACTACGCTACGTGATTGGCTAAAAAAATCGCGCCAGTTTTTTAATCTAATCAGAAGTAAAACCAAAACCATTATTGACTCGTTCGCACACGTTTTCCCGCGCTTTGCGTCAGCTACATGTAATTACTTCGAGTTTTGATTGATTCACTGTATTGTCTGTGTCCTTTGTGATTGGCTTGAGTGATTACTTTGGTTTTGGTTTTACGACACTCAATTGAAAACCGCTCGACCACTGACGTTGACTTTCCATAATTCACCCAAATACTTACTCGGTAAGGGAATAATGGCGTGTGGCTGTAACTTTTCTTGAAGCTGTAAAACGTAAGCAATAATGATAGTAATAAACAGTTTAAAAGATTACAAGACAGTATCAGAAACATCGACTTGAATTTTTTGAGGTAAAATCCGACGATAAAACGACACACGAACACGCCAAAATGGAACTGGTCTTTTCGTCCTCAAACTCATTACTAATTCATCAAGTTAAAACAAAGAAAGTCACAACCGTGAGGCAGGTTTGAATACCCGGTCTCAATTAGCATAGATTTTGACGATTTTACCTCTCCGTTTACTCCTTAGTTTTTGTTTCGATTGAGAAGATATATGAAACAATCGAGACGGTGTTTCATCGGCTATTTAAACACCTCGAATTTCGTCAAAAATACTCCGCTGCGCGTCGCATTTTCAACTCTCTTCTCGGTGTTTGGATATCCCGATGAAACACACTCTTTCGTGTTTGATATATTACTTGAGCCACCGCAGCCTTGCCGTTTAAAAAGAGGGGCTCTTTTTTTCGTTCATGAGATTGGGAGGTACAACGAATAAAACAGAGCAAATTCCTAAAAACCCTATCATTAAACCTACCTGACTTGGGATAAACAAATCGTTAACTGAGGCCGAGTCTAAGTCCACAGCATGAAAACCTACAACACAAACAGGAGTATCAACATACAAGTTCTCTTCACTGATGTCCTTCAGCTTCCATACACGAGTAAGCCGAATTTGGTTGGGTTTGGATTGGGGAATTGAGTTTGATCAAATGCTTTTGTTGCAATGCTTGAAGGAGCTACGTCACCGTTTGTGCATCTTGAAGCCTAAATTTTTTCCATTTCGTCGTTTATACTCCGTGTTAATCTTCTCCACCCTTAACCATCCTTGTTCCTTTATGGTTTATTATCATCTCTTTGGTGTTTTTCTACCTTATTAAACTGTTATTTTCAGGTTTCCTACCATTTAAAGGTAATTTTGTACGTGGCCAAAATAACTCAAAATGCCGTGACTGAGCTCTTTAAGTGAATGACGTTTGTTACACTTCTCGGCACAGCAGATGAATGGTTCGTTAATTCGCTAAGCTCAGCTGGCGCACAGCAGTTGTCTTACCTATGTCAGAGGAATAACAAACTTTCAGTTTGCTGTTTTCCGCCTCTATCGTCACATTCAACATCAGCGGTCTCTGGACCAAGGACGGGAATGACTGCAGAATAAAACGATATTAGCCACTGAAGTAAAACATATGAATATAACGCGCTTAGCCAGGTAAAACCAACATGTTTGGCACTCTCAGTTAGACAAACCTTTACTTTAGCAGAGTAATTTTACCCGCAATTTTTTTCCAATTGTTGTTTAGTTTTCGTTTGCCAAGCTCTAATTGGTCAAAAACAGGTCTCGTCCACTGAACGCGGTCTAACCAATCATAACAAACACTGGCCTCTGTAAGCTCCAATCAGGTGCAAAACAATATCACACGTGACTTCGCTAACGAGGCGTTTCCCCCGTTTTTCAAGGGTAACACACTTTTCCGCGCATGGCACTGCTTGCATGTGTACATGTCTCCGACGATGTAAAAACTACTCGCAAAAGATTTCCAATATGAACTCTATTCACCTTAAAAGCCATGAACTTGTGATAAGGTTTCGGGGCCCAAGCATAAACTTCAATCTTGTCCTCCGTTGCAATAGCAAGAAATTTTATTCGGTGAAAATTTACTGCAACACAAGGAGATATTAATCAATGTTTCTTTTCGTAAACGGGGGTTTTGTTGTGTTATGGCTCGATGTACAATGAAGAAAGAGTTTACATACCAACTTTGTAGTGAACACATCCCTCTAGATCACCGACCGTTGTGTAACCTCTCTGTCTTCGGTGATGGTCAGCCTATATACAAATAGAGCAGTTAATTCACAATATCGTTTTGATGAAGGGAATAAGTTTCTGGTTCATTACGGAAAAATCAAAATTAGTCGTCCACCCTACGCCGGAGGAATTTGAAAACGGAGGTTTCACTCCGAAAACTGACGCATCAAATGTTTTCCGTCCACACTACGCCGGAGAAATTTGAAAAACCAAACAATCACCGGTCATTTTGAATTTGAGTTTGAGGAAAACTCGGGAAGGGAAATCACTTGATTATCGTGACGCCATCGTTTTCGAAAAGCTTCGTTTTCAAAATGTTTTCCGCCCGAACAAAAACGCAAAGCCAGCTTTTTCAAATTCATCCGGTTTGAAGAGCGTTCTCGAAAAGCTACGTTTTCGTGACGGTTTAGTGTGGACGGTAGGTCTAACCGGAGAGATAAAGCTGCTTTTTAAAATTCCTCTGCGTGTTGTGGACAGGGCCTAAGATAACGTTTCTATACCTCTTCTCCTTTTAGAATCTTCGCCTTCAACCATGATAGGTAATACACACGGAGTTTGTTCTGTTTGCCTAGGGGAGAAAAACAGGAACGATTGCAATTTTTCAAACAGCAACAAGACTGAGAAATTTCTCGAAAACTAAACACCAAACGGGAGTTCAAATGATCGCTCAATAAGAAATACAGAGATTGATTCCTTACCACTGATGGAAATAAGTACGTTTATTCCTTCTAGAACGTCAATCTGCTGAAATCTGCGCCTGGAAATCAGCTGAAAAACTGACCACAAAAGTACAAACTAATCACCGACTTTGTACATAAATTAAAAATCGCAACATGACGAAATGGAAGTGTGTTACATGTAAATAGACTTCATCTAAAGATGCACAATGGATGTAGCATTTGTAAGTCAATGCTGGCTGTTTACCTTTTCCATAACCACTGCGGTCCAGCAGATACAAGCCATTTTCTGTACCAACAATAAGATTAACACCTACAAAATTGGAACGAATTAGCACCTCTTTTATGTCACTCACAGGGCATTACATTCCGTGCAAAAATAAATGTCGCATTACCACACAATCTTACCCCAAAGAGCTCCACACAGGATTTCTGTACGGAATTTGTATTTGTACTTTCTGATCTGTGGCATCTGAAAGTAAACAGAGATTAATTTTCAGCGAATATAAATAATTGTAAAATAACTGAGATACTACGCGCGCTCTCATTGGTCAATAGGTGTGTTTAGATGAGAATATGTAAACACGGTTGTGACGTTGAGAAATAATTTATAAAAGCAATAGAGCACTTTTCCGTGTTTACATAGCCTCATCTAAACACTCAGAGGGTTGGGAGAATTCTCTAAAGTCATGCAAACCCTCGACTATATCTCAGGATTGCATGATTGTCTCGAATTCTCCCAACCTCCCTCGTGTTAATTGAGGCTTTGTAAACACGGCAAAAAGTACTCTACTGCTTAGGTTTTCAACTTGACTCTAGTGCTCGACTTACTGCCAAGTCATCCAGATTAGCATTTGAAGCCCTGTCAGGCGTCAAGTTCACCGACACCTCTGAAGGAGCTTGTGATGGCCGACCAAAACCAAAGCTCCGTTGTTTGGAAAACTTCCTGTCCTTTTTAGGGTCTTGAGCCACAAATGATGACGCGATGGATTCATCTGAGGACTTTCGACGATCAGGAGATTTTGGCGATTTCTGAAAATCAAAATATAGTCAGGAATAAACAAGATGATGAACACATTTGGCAAAAACGCAACAAACGTTCGTAAGAAAAACGTAACATAACGTTCGTAACGAAAACGAAATATAACGTTCATAACGAAAATGTAACATAACGTTCATAACGAAAATGTAACATAACGTTCGTAACGGAAACGAAGCATAACGTTGGTAACGAAAACGTATCACAACGTTCGTAACGAAAATGTAACATAACGTTCGTAAAGAAAACGTAACATGACGTTCTTTCAAAGGAGTTGTTCAGAAAATTTAATAATTACCCTAACTCTCGCTGCCACTAACCACCCCTCCCGTCTGTCATACCTTAACTTGTTGCTGTGTAGGAAGCACATCTGGCAAGTTATTTGTCAGGGGTCGGGTAGGGACATTTGCTTCCCCAATGCTAGCAGTCGATGCACTAGACTGATGATAAAAGTAAAAAAAAATTCTTTNTGCTGTGATGGAGTCTATCTACAGACTGTGAAATGTGTAACCACTAGTTTCAAGACAGTTGACTGAAGATGTCTAACATGTTCCCTGTCCCCAAGATATTTAGAGTCCCGGTGGTGGGGAGGGTACTCCCTATTAAGGCCCACTTAGGGAGGCTCCGCTCAAAAGGGTTACCTTTCTTAGGCTTCAGGTTGAAGGATAGGGATTTTACAAGTTAAGGTATATGAAAGGGTAGGGAAATCAGAATATCTTGACTCCCACCACAACATGAACTGAACAAAAAATACTTGTTTTTTGGTTAACATCTCTTCTAGTAATGCTTGGTGTTCTCCCAAAAAATTGTTCATTAAATTCATTCCAAGGGTTTAGGGATGCAGTGTTCTTAAGCAGGTATGTGAATGCGGAACCTTTTTCGATTACAGGGGTAACTTTTCTGTCAAAATGGTATACAAAAGGGTAAGGTGTTGGACCTCAGGGTGGAGCCTCCCCATATAAAACTTTCTCGAGTACCCCACAGGATTTAGCGATCTCCCCAAGTTTGATGGCTAATAAGGTAAATCTTATCAAGCCCTTAGGACATAGAGTTGCTTACTACTGATTCGTTGTCATCTTCTTTCACCACCATGGTATTATAGTCATCCTCGTCACCATCTTGATCTGATGGAGTAACCAATGTTATGAGAAACTTAACACAGTACCACACAACACAAATACATGTATGCACCTAATTCACTCAACAACTTGGAAAACAAGCGCTTCAAATAGTCAGTGTCTTACCTCTAAGCACTAATCATAACTAATCACACAGTTTTTGGCAAATATTTTGTTGCGCAATGTAGTGTATCTTAACAGTAACATGCTGAGGTTCTTTGTGCATTTCACCTCAACTGTTAGTAACAATATTGCTTCATTGGGGCAAAGGAACAGCTGCTGATATTTCAGGCTAATGTAACAACTTTTACACCATTTGCTGTGTACACCATTTTATTGTAGAACTTACTTTGTGGTCTCAATGTAAGTTCCCCATCTTGTTGTGCATCTGCAGATGCAGACCTGAAAACAGTCAAACATATTAAGATGGATCCCACTCAAGATTCAAGCAATAAGCACAAAAATTGCATTGACAAAAATTCTTCTAAATCTACTCATTGCATGAGATGAAAACCGCTTACCGATGACGTGAATGATTAGATGCTGGAATAGTGTCCTCGCTTTGTAATGTCATGAAGCTGTCGACACTGGTGTCCAGAAATACATCGTTGTCATACCCACCAGTTGCACCCATGTGCTGCAGTGGGGCGTGGTTCTGATTCATTTCCTGCCAAGATCACAAATGGCATACCAAAGTCATAAATCAAATAACATTTTGTAAGAATGTATAAAACTTAAAACTCATCTTCCTTAGTACATTGTATTTTATTATTTCATTATCCCAATGATGCTTGAAATGTGTCTTTCTTGCCTCAAATGTGTAACAGCCATTGTAAATAACCATCTCAATAGTTTATATTTTTATTTTCGTAGAAATCTGCAAGCCTTCTATCACAAATGCTGTTCTCTGATTGGCTACACTTCTCACTATATCTATTCTGTTGTGTAGATAGTCAGTAGCCTAACAGTGTGCACTTGTGGAAAAACTTGCAACACTTCTTGGCGTTTTCGAGGTGTCTGTGAAAAGGATTCATATAAAGTTTTGAACAACTGATAGTTGACTCGGGCTGCCCCCATGTCAACTATCACACAATAGAAATCTCAAGCTCATAACCTAATTTCTAATAATATAATAGACATTTATTTACTTACAGGGCTGCTTCCACTGCTTGTCCTCCTTGGTGGGTAATTATTCCCTGAAACATTTAACACAAAATAAACGTCATCACAAATAAACAACTTACAGACATTCACATACATTGAGTCAGAATGATTGAATTATTGATAAACAAACCAGTATCAACTAATCATTGCATAGTTATAGACTTCCAAGGTAATCATTCATGTGTTTTGATAGATTCACCTCTTCCAAAAGTCCCTCCTTGCATAAGAGTCAGATTTCTTCTAAGTGTTGACTGGACATTTACAATGCTAAATGAAAGGAAAGAAACCATCAGTTTTGTAACATACAATTCATTGTCTTTAAGGACAAGAGGACATCACCTTTTGGCATCTTGAAAAGTTAAGCCTAAATTTTTCAAGTTTGTCATTTGAAATCCATGTTAACCTTCTCCATCCTTAACCATCCGTCATTTCTTTGTACTTTATTATTATCTGTTAGGTGTTTTCCTATCTTAGTAAATTGCTATTTTCAGTTTTCCTTCAATTTAAATAGTAGCCAAAATATCTCAAAATACCATGACTGAGCTCCTTTAATGACAAGTGACAGTGGATATATACCAACGGCATCATGGTAGCCCTAATCCATGCCTATGTAATGGGCATAATCCAATGTGTTTTTTGCATAATCAACGCATTTTTCTACATTTTCCCCCAAATATTTCCGCATAATTTTTATTTTTTCCACACCCAATAAGATGGCATGATAATACAACTCAGCTCAGCTAATGCGATGAAGTTACATCACTGACTCATTTAATATATCAGGTCTCTTAATTCTAATTTGATTGTCTAAATGTCCAATTTTACAGCTTCTCACCCCATTTCTTCAGCAATCATTCCTGCTAACAACTGTTCATCTTCCTCCTCGCTGCCAGAATATTGATACTCTTCTTCATGATCAGGAGGAGCTACAAACAAAGAGCACAAAAATTCATCATCCAATCCTTTCAATACTAAGCTCAAAAAATAAATTCCCCTTACTGAATTACTCATTTTTTTAAATATCCATTACGAGAATTTGGAGACACATCAAGACAATATCATCTTCTTGCCAATTTACATAATTCTTGCAGTTGCCACCTGTCTGCTAGACAACCTATCGATATTGTATCGTTTTAAATATAAATATATAACTATCTGTAAGTACTCATCATATTTTGTTGTAAGTAATGAATTATATATTGTAAGTAGTGTAAGTAGTAGTATCGTAAGACTTATGATGCTTGCTGTACAATACTTGCTCTACAATTACTTATTTATGAAATGATTTTCGCAGCGCAGCAACATTTAGACTATTTTAGGATTTAGCTTTTATATCTATTTATATCTAAATTTAACTCAAGTTTTAAATATTATTGTAATTCAACTATACACGTCTCTCATAATTTAAGGTTTATAATTTTTATTATAATGTATATTTGTATTCGTAGTATTGTTCATTTTTCATTAGGTTTGTAATTTTGTTTCCTGAGGGCCACAAGTTTATTAGCCTTTGGCTATTAAGTGTCAATCCTCCTTAAATAAAGTCTCTCTCCCTCTCTCTCTATCCTACTTAGTACAATAAGTAATCGTATCATAGAGCAAGCACTGTAAGTTGCAGTATTGTAAACTAGCATCTGTAATCAGATCGTATTGTAAGTACTGTAAAAGTAATCCCACTGTAAGGGACCGTAAACGTATCAGAATTGTCACAAGGTTAAGTAGAACTTTGTATTACTGTTGTAAGTGGCCTACCAGTAACCAGTGCTGTAAGTAGTCCAAAGTAGCATGAATCACAATGAAAATGTAAAAAATATATCTATATACAATTGTATCCATTTTCATCCACAAACAATGAGATTTAATTCTCAGCATAAATGGTTAAACTGAGGATTCACATTAAAATTTAAAGTCAGTGTGCTTCGAACGTGAGTGCCCTTAGACATTCTACTACTTACTAGTTGAGTAAGGTACGACAAAGTTTGGTCACCAGGTTTTAACATTAATATCACACTGTTGTCATGGGCAACTGGCTCCGGCAACCTGTTGGCCTTTCACATCATATTGGCAGCAAAGTGCACAAAATTGTAGGCAATGCGACAAGTGATGCACAGCTGTTGATTTTGTTACCAATGGAAACGAGCTAAGTTGCCTGCGACCACACTGTAATTTTGAGGCCAAAACTTTGTCACCAAACTTCCATCGTGCCTTACTCAACAGATAATCATAGTAGTTTCAAATAACAAATCAAACACCAACCTTTCTTCTTTTTCATCCTATCAATGAAATCTTTCAGTTCAATCCTAATTTTCCTTTCATGAGACCTTGCATCGCGAATAAATTCATGCTGCAATCAAAGTAAAATACAATTAACCCACCCAAAACAAAATAATTGTCATGGTGTCAGGGGTTTCATTAATGTTTTCGGCAGGAGGGCAGCAGGTTTTCATAGGAAAGAAAAACTTTTCGCTGGATGGTCAAACCAGGCAGGTAAAATCAACCTCACAGCCAGTCAATTTGCCAAGTGCCCAGCCCTTAATGAAACCCCTGTGGTGTACCCAACAATAAATGTATGTAATCATCTCAGTAATTTTTGAGAAATGGCAACTTCATTTTGTACTAAAATTTGAGTTAAAAAAATTATGCAAACTTCCCTACAATATTATATTTCCCACACAAGCTTGATCCATGAAGTATTTTGAATACAACATAGTAATTAAGATTGGTTGCTACTTGCATACAAAAATTAAAAAAACAACCAACATTCAATGAGAGGCATTACACACACAGATCTCTACATGAGAGTTACGTCAACAAGATGGAAATTTACTTAAGGTCAATAATAGAGGCTATAAAATTAAGTATTACATGTACTTGTTATAAATATAAGCTGTATAGTATTATAATATTATTATAACTTTACCTGTAACAGTTGATCTGCTGTGGGTCTCTGTTGATAGTCTTTTATCAAGCACGTGTTTACAAAGTTGTGGAATTTCTTAGACCATGCCTTCTTTGACTTCAGTCGTGGAGGTTCACTCCGTGGAATTAGAAACAGTGCTCTCATTGGATGCATGTCGCACAGTGCTGTGGAAGAAAGTTCTCTTAGTTACCTTGGAACAGTGTCATAGCCATATGTCATATGTGTGACAATGAAAGGCATGAAACACTACTGTATTCAATACTTACGAGGCTGAGTTTCAGCCATCTCAATTGCTGTGATTCCTATGGACCACATGTCACACTAAAAGAAGAGAACCTTCTTAAAAATCACAGGTAAACAGTTACGAGCAACTTTCAAATAATATTAATTTTGTAAACTTGAACCAAGTAGATCACAGAGCAACAGTCAGTGACAAGTTTAAACAGGCTTGATGGAAATCAAGAATTTTTGTTTTGAATTCATACCCGGTTGTCATATGTAGCATCAGGTTGCTCATCACAAGCAATCACTTCTGGAGCCATCCTATAACAGATGAGAATCACATGCATATGTTAACTAATGCTTGACTGACTGAAGCATCTATCAGAAATGAAATTAATAAATACATTTATTATACGGCTAGCTCTGTGAGCAGGTAAGATGAACCAAATCCTGCAGTGTGAGTGGACTGCTCAAGACTGTGTCCTGCAAGAACAATTTCCCTGAAAGCCATATAATAAATCCTTTATTGACCAAGCTTGTTCAGTCAAGATGGCTGGATATTGGCGTCATTCTATTTTTGCACGTTTACCGACCATGTAAAAACTGTTGGCCAATATCTAGCCATCTTGACCTCACACTTGGTCATTAGCCCATGTACGTATGACCGAAGGTACACTGTATGTTGGACTAATTTTGTGTCATGCTTTGCAAGGGAAGACTTACAACACAGGTTTTAACGAGGTTTAACCAGAACAGCTTTTCTCACCAGTATGGAGTTCCAATGAAAGTGTTTCTTCTCCCAATGGTTCTGTCTAACTGAGCGCTAACACCAAAGTCAACTGCAGGCAGAGAACAAACATGCAAAAATTCCAACATGACCAGCCAAAAGAGCAAACAGTGCAACAAGGTGTACAAAATACAGTGAGTAAATTGACATTTAGGATGTACAAAGATGTAAACAGAAGTTCCAAGAAAGCTGCCATACCTAACTTGACCTCAGCACTGTCTGTTAACAACACGTTTTGTCCTTTGATGTCTCTGTGTATGACATGGTTTTGATGAAGATGGCTCACACCCTGCACAAAAGCATGCACAATGGAAAGAAAAGTGAGGTTCCAGAAAACAAATTTACATTTGGTAATAAAAATTATTCTAACTTACTATTTATCTCTTATTAACTAAGCAGGAGGTCTGTGTGGGAGAATCTTGGCCGAGGTCGTGAGTACAGACCTCACTGCGTTCGGTCTGTACACACAACCAAGGTCAAGATTCTCCCATACAGAGCGACTAAGCTTAGTTAATAAGATGTCTATTATATGGTGCAAACAAAAACAATTTAATTCATTTAATGTGACTGGTTTGTACTAACCTGACTAACTGACATTTTGCTTGTGAACGGCGATGAGCTGAATTTAATTTTGCCAAACTTTGCTCGTCCTCTTTACTCTTTTTTCNCTGTTCGAACGGCTAGGCTACCCGTTCGGAATACTTAATCACCCGTTCGAACACTCATTGAAACCCGTTTCAAACGGCTTGGTGACCCGTTTGTAACCCATTCGATGGCCGTTCGTTTCACCCGTGTAACGGAAAGTCGTTAATGCACGTTTTCGCGTGAAAGGTCACATATAATAAACATCTTATTAAGTTACCAAGCTTAGTCAGTCTGTATGGGAGAATCTTGACTTCTATCGTGTGTACCGACTTCACTACATTCAGTCTGTACTCACAACCTCAGTCAAGATTTTCCCATACAGATCTCCTGCTCAGTTAACAAGAGCTAATTATTTACTCAGAAGAACTTACGTTGAGCACTTCATGACAGATGTATGAAATCCACTCTTCTTTTAATGCTTTCCCTCTTGAAGCTGCCCAAAAGTAAAATACAAAATATAATATAATTACTTATTTAGAACTTGTGTTTGGTCATGTCACAATGTTGCTTTGCAAAGGATGGCCAAGAATGATTCCTAGGTGGATAACACAGATAAGGTAAAAAAAGGCAAAATCTGCATATAAGCCAAGGGGTCTTTCAGGCTGGAGCTTGTCCAGGTTTCTGCAGCATGAAGCGACTAGAAATTTTTCTACTCTCCCCTGGATGGGATGCTGGTGCGTCGCAGGGTTACCCTCAGTATTAAATTTGCCAGTACCCATTTGTACACCTGGGTGGAGAGAGGCACTATGAGAGTAAAGTGTCTTGCCCAAGAACACAACACAATGTCCCCAGCCAAGGCTTGAACCCAAACCGCTCGATCTGGAGTCGAGCACACTAATCATGAGGCCACCATGACTCTACACAGTTGCAGCCCATTGAACTACTTATCAAAACTATTTATTTTGCAAATGCCTTTGCTGTTGTCCTTATTTACTTTAAATTCACTTCATGTTAAAATTTGATAAGGCACATCAATGCACATACCTTTAACTAAGTCTGTTATGGACCCTGCTCCACAGAACTCCATCACAAGCTGTTTTTAATCAGGAACACAGCACAGAAATCAGTTTGAAATGTGTTCAGTTTTTACAGAAACAATGACGAGGCATCTCATAATTATTTCAAGGTCTTGTCCCACCCAACCTCCTCAACTTAAATGAAAGTTTTTATCACAAAACAGCAAAGATTTTAATATTAGAGCAGAAGAATGTAGACTTGTAATTCACAATTAATAGATGCAGTAATTGCAAGCACTTGTTATCATACCCAAAGCTGATCTTCTTGTCCTGGTAAGCCTTTCTTCACAAAGGCTCCATAGTAAGTAGCTATGTTACGATGATGAGAAAACTAAAGAAGACAAAAACATGTTAATTATGACTGTATCGTTTAAACAAAAATCTAGTTTTAAGAGCAACTAGGAAGACAGGCATGTTCAAATTATAAATTTTGGAATGAAACAGTTGAAAGTTTGAGAACATGAAACAGTGAGTCTCCAGAGAATTCTCTTTTTCGAGACTTTAACTTGAGTTTGTAAGATGCAAATGTTCATTCTCTAGTTATCAAAGGCTTCTAGAGATACATTTAACTAAGGTTCTCTCCTTTGATGAACTCATCAGTTGAAGGGGTGCATGGAATAGAGTGCTGAGTGACTTTTGGAAAACTTTGAGGTAAACAGCATTGAAATATGTTTCAGATATTATTACACTTTACCCTTGTCTTCACTATTGTCTTAGAAAAAGCACTAGTCATGACTACTAGTACTTTTTAGACAATAACTAAAATCAGAGTAAACTGTGAAAATTGCTGGTAGGTGTTTCAGTCCTTGCTGCCTCAAAATTTTCCAAAAGTCAATTACTGGCTTTATTCTGCACACCCCTTCAAATCAATTGGCATCTAATTCAATCTTCTAACACATGTCTGGACAGGGCCTGCAGCATACCTTTCTCAGAACATTTATTTCTAGCTTTATTTCCTCTTCTTCATCCTGGAAAGGTAAAAAAAAAACCCTCTTTAAAAATAAATCCAAGTGAATATGCAGCATTCTTTGATGTTCACCTTTTTGTCCCTTACATACATGCACATTTACACAAGGTGAAAACAAGTTCTTGTTGCATTGCTGTGGCAAAGCTAGCGAGGCAATCACACTGTAAAAGTAATAACAATAACACTACAAAAACGAAGATCTACAAATGGTAACACTTACTTCAGTAACGTCCATGATCTTAATAGCTGCCAGCTGCCCAGTCCTTTTGTGACGACCCTGTGTTTACAAGTAAATTTATACAAAAACAAAATGATCTTGTTACAAAAATGAGTTTTTGTCATCCACCCTCCCTTCCTGTTATTATTATAAAGTGTGAGGGTAGATATTACATGACAAAAAAGGTTATTAACCTGTTTTTTTATGATAAATCTAGCAACAAGACAGATCAACTTTTAGTTGGTATAAAGAGACAAAATGCAAACTTTAGTTGTACACCTTTATGTACATCATGTTTAGATTACTGGTCTGGTCACTAAGGGCCTAGGGAGACAAGCCACTTTGGAGTAGCTCACTTTTTCTTCCACAAGGGGGATCCTCTCCTTGCTTCCTTTGTAAATTACTGACCTTTTACTTTAATTGACTGTTTTACAACAGTATATTGTATAGTTACATTGATTCTGCAATATTAGTGTGCAACTTAGGAACACCAACATTATATTTACAATATTGTAAGTAAATTGACTTGTCATCATATTGGTAGCTCACACTTGGACTTTTACAAATTTTGATCATATTTCAAAATCTTAGCATGACAGAAGATACTTTTCCACAACATACTTTTCAGAAACATGCTGTGCTGGAATGTTACACAGTCCAAAAAACATTTAATTTTCAAAATAGAGTAATGTATCAAAATGACCATAATATTCCATTAGCAAAAAAAAAAAATTTATTGATGATGTGTACTGTACAGAGCAGAAGTTGCAAATGTTGACCAATCATATTTGTTTATTTATATACTGTACTTAAATAAATTATTAATAATTAAATCATATAGTGAGCAACTATATTTAAAAACGTTTTCAAATTATTTCTTATCAAAAAGGCCAAAGTTTGGTTACATAATTTTTTGAGAAAAATCGTCAATGTTGGTGATTACTGTAATCAAAGTCTTTTGTAAGAAAGAATTGCCAAAGACGGAATGTGAAACACAATTTCCACCTTCGAATTACTAACAAAGCCACACGGGTAATACAAGAGTCCTCGCTGTGGGGCAAAAGCAGGCAAGCCATTGTGAAAAAAAACTGTTGCAATGTAGGAGGTGAAACATAACATGGGATCAAATGACCAATATCTTCCCAATCTCTGTAGTTATATTATTGTAATTGAAGAAGTCAAAATAAAGTGTTCAGATTTCATAACTTCTAACTTATAGTTCTTTATAGTGTAATCCTTATGTTTGCAAGGCTATGGTGTATTCAAAAGTCCCAGAAGGAGACACACACTAACACAGAACGTCAATAATTTATATCAAGTATCCGATCAAAGGGCAAAAAAGTATTGCTGTCAAAAATCACACAACATTTTTCTTCAATACAGTTGTAACAACTGCTTAACATAGCAAAGATCCTGCTTAACAACTAAGGCAGCAACTATCTGCCTTCTAAGAATTTCAATGACAATAAAAAAGCCATAAAGTAGATAAATAAATACGATACATAAATATTATCAGACAGGCGAAAGTTCTCGAGTAACTTATTGCAGATGTTTTACATATATCTTAAACATGACAACGTTTTTTGTTACTAGCTGGTCGTGATGGGATCAACTTTCAGAATTTTCAAAGATGAATCACCTTGTAAAACCAAATAGTAATGCACGAAAAATTTCAGCTTACATGGAAAATGAAAGACAAGTGGAGAATGTGTGGAGTGAAAAGAAATATTGCAAAACACGTTCTGATGTTACCTTATGTACTTGGCCATAAGTTCCATTGCCAACGACTTCCACTAAATCAAATATTCCGGCAGGATCCTGTATAAAACGTAATACGTAATTACTAAAGTATTCTCATCGATTACAAACGCGATAACGAAAAAGATAAAGAACAGTTGGTAGGGGAATTCATGTTGGCGTCTAGACAAGGGAATTCACAGGTTTATGACAATAAAGAAATTATGTCACATGAAGACATCACAAAAAGTTCACCACGACTTCACTGATCTTTAACAAGCCGCTTCGTTCAAAGTCTTCGCCACGACGCAAAAATCTCACTTGACAAGAAATTGGCTTCACCGGCAAAGCAGTCTCATCAAGCCAAGAAATTTAAGCTTATGGTTATCAATTGCGATCCGACAATTTAAACAGCTAAACGAGATTATAAAGGGAAAAAGCGAACATTTACTCACCTTCAGTGAAGCTAAATCAATATCGTCCAGTCCGTACGCCATTTTAACTCTCCAAAGTGATGAATTTACGACCGCAAGCGCACCAATGTATTTCAACCACTACTCTGTCGTACTCTGGTACTCTGAAGCTGCCCACGGGAAACTTGTCACATCCGTAAAACGCGATTGAAGGATTGCACTAGGCCTCAGCCCACATAAAACTCTCCTATGTTCATAACATTCATTCGATTACATTGGAGTGTTTGCAAAAACAAATGAACGCTCGCACTTCGTGCAAAATATACAGATGAGTCGAGGACTCATAGCGTTCTCCTCAAAGGAAAACATCCAGGAGCCATTCTCAAAACAAAGCAGAGGGAGGGGCTTGGGTCGGGTCACGTGATAACGTGCTGGGTTGAAGTTGATGGCCACCGACAGCACCAAACGCCGTCCAATGCGCTTTCAGAGCTTAAAACCAGCGATTTTCTCTCCAATCGCCACTCAAAATAAATACGCCTCATGGCAGGTTAAATCTGCTCCTTCCACACTGTCGATGTCCTTTCCGTTTCTCTATTTGTCTTACATGGACTGCTCGTCAGGGTTGCAGTAGGATTTATATATCTTCAAGCCTCTTTCAGGCATAAACGGCGAGCGAAAAAATAAAGGAAAAGTGCGGCGGTTTTTCGCTCGCCGTTGTTCGCGCTGTGCCCCAACTAATTGAACGCCTGGAAGAGGCTATATATCTTCCCAAGGGACCTGGAAATTCTCGTTTTCTAGGTAGGATAATTATTCCTTCCCAGTTCTCAGAGTTCAAGGGCACTTTTATAAAGAAAGTTGTGCTCGCGACTCCGAGCAGCGCAGAGGATGACAGATACATGCATGATGCACGCCGTCCTTGTAGGGTATACAGATTATGACAGAGGTAATATATGGGGCAGTTGGGATATGTTATTTTCGTCCACGCCTTCGACAGGATCCGGAAACCACACAAAAAAGCCTCCGTCGTTCATGAAGCCCCGAAATAACGCATGACGTTTGTTTATTCTGATCTGGAGGTGTAACTATGCAAAGTTATTTAATGCCCTTGATCGTTCCATAGAGAAGTTCCGCTGTAACTGAAGCTACGTAGCCTATGTACAGCCGCCCCCTCCCATAATTGGAAAGACAGACCTCTCCCTCCTTGATTTTTTTGACGGGAGGGGGCGGCAGTACACAGGCTAACGGCTGCGCTTCAGGTATAACCTTGTTTCCAGGGCCTTTTCTCCCGCCCCAAGCCAGGGAAAAAGCCCTGGGAACGAGGTTGCATATCTCAATGTCAAAAGATTTATCGAAGAGCGTATTGAAAGCGATTGAAAACGAAACTAAAATACAAATATATAAACATAAGCGAGAGTATTCTGTTTGCTCTGTTGGTCATCACTTTTTTGTATGTGGTGGCTCCTAAAGGAGCCGTTTTGTTTGGTGAAGCGTCGCAGTTTACTTTTTAGCCGTTTTCTTGGCGGCAGGCTTCTTGGCCACGGGTTTCTTGGCCGCGGGTTTCTTGGCCGCTTTCTTGGCAGGTTTCTTAGCTGCCGGCTTCTTTGCTGCTGGTTTCTTAGCTGCGGGTTTCTTTGCTGCTGGCTTTTTCGCGGCTGGTTTCTTTGCTGCCTTCTTTGCCGCTGGTTTCTTCGCCGCCTTCTTGGCGGCGGGCTTCTTTGGTTTGGCGGCGGGCTTCTTCTTTGCAGCGGGCTTCTTCTTTGGTTTCTTCTCCTTCTTTTCCTCCTTGGGCAACTTGAAGGAGCCAGAAGCACCAACTCCCTTGGTGTGCACAAGCTTTCCGCTGGTGGCGCCTCTCTTCAAAGCCATCTTCAAGTGCGAGCCAACCTCACCAACCTTGTAGTTGGCTTTGATGTATTTCTCGATGGCTTGGCGGGAAGAACCGCTTCGCTCCTTCAGCGCTGCAATTGCAGCCTTGATCATCTCTAAATAAGGTGGATGATCGGCTGGCTTTTTAGGCGCTGCCGGCTTCTTTTTAGCGGGGGATTTTGCTGTTTCAGACATGTTGCAGTTTGGGAACTTGCTGTCCGGAGCTGAAGACTCAAAATACTCGGTCGACGGTGCGGCTATTATTTATGCGCTGCATGCGGACCACCGAGGAAACAGGACCGCAGAAAATGGCGTCCTCCAATTCTGTGCTAGTTTCCCTATCGTTTTCTGCAATAAAACGGCATGGTATTGAAACTTTTTCAATCTCAGCCTTAAAATGTGTTGCTAAGGTTTTTCCTAAGTTATAGATACAAACGATATTTGGTCAAAGGCTGGCAAAGAGTCAAATTGAAAGCCTGAAAGTTTACAAAACGGTGAGATTCAAAAGAACATGTTGTCTTTCTAGCGAATTAACTCTTATTAAGTTTGCTATTTATTAGATTTGGGAAGATTTTAAGAAAATAGAACTCCTACTGCTTAAATTTTGCTAAGAAAATTTGGCTTTATAGTTAATTTTCAATTGCTTAGCTTCGCGTTTATTTGAATAACAAGGACAGTCTTATGAGGCCGCCATGCATTTGCAGATCACTCCGTTTGACTTTAGCAAATGTACACAAAACAGGACATCACGTCTGAATTCTGAGTTCTTTGAGTGAGTGAAAATCAAAAATTAATTCAGAGGCATGCGGAGTATTTGAGAATAACCAACGGCCCTGTAATCTGAGATTTGCAATGCTACGATTTTGGTAAAGAGAACGAAACACTGAATGGGTATATATCTTCATGCATTTGTACAGTATATGCACCAATACTGACTCGCGCAAATTTATCTAACGAACATTTCCTGAATAATAAAGCGCAATTTTTTTCCTTAAGCCTAAATGACTTAAATACTGTAGTAGTAGGACTTTCAAACCCTCGACTTCAAGGAGTGAATAGCCATGGGTCAATAACATTGGTATGATGTGAGATTTCGTGCCCAGTTGCAAGTTGCAAACGTATATTTGTATATATCAAGCGCCAAATTTCTTAACGCTGTTGATCGCTAGGCGAAGAGTTGTACGAGTTGTGTACTATGATTTAAGATTAGAAATGCCTCGGATAGAACGAAGGGAATGGCATACAGTATTTTTCATCCCAAAGTTCTGTAAACTTTGGGAACTTGTAACAACTCCAACTGAAACCGGATCTTCCATCACTAATTATGGCGCCAAAATTTGTTGGAAGATCTAGTCGGCTGAGAGAATAAGAAAAGGGCGGAAACTCATGTACAAAATGAATCAATCATAAAACTTCTTATTATTTTTTTTTTTTACAACTGAAAGAGGTACGTTCAATAATAGGGTTTCAAAGATACAATGTTGCAGAAAGAATCATTTAAGGGACGCGCGCCCGAATGACTTTGGTGCTAAATGGCGAACGCTGATTAGCAAACCGTCTTTTGATAAAAAGATTTCTATAAATTCTGTTCATTTTTTAAAGTGAAAATAATTTTGCCAGAGAATCTGAGCAAGAAAGAGAAAATGGCAATAGCATTTCCACAGAAAGGAAATGATTTAAAATGTGCTTATGCCAGCAATCATAGAAAGATTTGATCTTTTATCGTTCTTCAACAAAAGCGAACTTTTCATGATTTATGTCAGGTTCATGTTGGTCATTGCCTTTTACTGATTTGGTGGCTCCTAAAGGAGCCGTTTGTATTGTGAGGGATGTAATCCACTTTATGCTCGCTCTCCACGGATTCGGCGGGCTAGCTGAATGTCCTTGGGCATGATGGTGACGCGCTTGGCGTGGATGGCGCACAAGTTGGTGTCTTCAAACAGACCAACAAGGTAAGCCTCGCTAGCTTCTTGAAGAGCCATCACTGCGGAGCTCTGGAAACGCAGATCGGTCTTGAAATCCTGAGCGATTTCTCGCACAAGACGCTGGAAAGGCAGCTTGCGGATCAGCAGCTCGGTGGATTTCTGGTAACGACGGATCTCACGAAGAGCGACTGTGCCAGGCCTGTATCGATGAGGCTTCTTGACTCCACCGGTGGCAGGAGCGCTCTTACGAGCTGCCTTTGTGGCGAGCTGTTTGCGTGGAGCTTTTCCGCCAGTTGATTTACGAGCAGTTTGCTTTGTACGAGCCATTGGGAAGTTCACGAGAATATAGAACAAGAACTATATTTTCCGTTTAAGTGTTCGACACTTATAAAACTGTTTATACATTGGCGGGCTTAACGCTGATTGGTGAAAAAGGGAACGATTCTATTGGCTGGCAAATACACCATACAAAATTTGTATTCGTACTTCGATCCGAAAATATAAGTTTTCATGTTTTAGGTCAAACACTCACCGATGGTTCACTTATGAGATATGTTGCAATAGCATCTTAGTCTGTGGTGTTTACTTTACTTATAAGAAAGAGCAATTCATCTTTTTCATGTTACCCTTGATCTAAGTAAGCCAGAGTCAAACTGTTGCTTTGGCTCTCAACTCGTGTTTTGTGATCGGTCTTATTAATATGCACTATGCATGATGAGGTCTCTGTTGTCTTAATTCAACCAATAGAATTCGAAATATTTCTACGTTTCCTGAGAGGTCATACGTCTGCCTATAAATAACAGAAAAGGCGGTCAAGTTTTTAATTCAGTTACACGAGTAGCAATCAACATGTCTGGTCGCGGTAAAGGAGGCAAAGGTCTAGGGAAAGGGGGCGCCAAGCGTCACCGAAAGATCCTTCGTGACAACATCCAAGGCATTACCAAGCCAGCCATCCGTCGTCTTGCTCGCCGTGGCGGTGTCAAGAGAATCTCTGGCCTGATCTACGAGGAGACTCGCGGTGTTCTCAAAGTTTTTCTTGAGAACGTGATCCGTGATGCTGTGACATACACCGAGCACGCCAAGAGAAAGACTGTGACAGCCATGGATGTGGTGTACGCTCTGAAACGACAAGGCCGTACTCTGTACGGATTTGGCGGTTAGACTGCACAGTCTTCAAACACAAACTGTCGAAACAAACGGCTCCTTTAGGAGCCACCAAATCTCTCAGAAGTCATGACCAATAGAATCAATATTTTTCTTTAACATTTCTGTTGAGTATCCCTACATGTCTGACATATCTTTAAACTCGGGGATGATAAGCAAACTTGGTGAACAGATTGTAAAGATTGAACTTATATTTTTCTCGATCTTTCTCCAAAATCTTTGGTCCTTCAAGGTATTTGTGTTTGTAACTTCAACTGGATAAAACCAAACAGAAATCATCTCCCTATGGGTAATAGTCTTGAAAATTTCCCCGACATTTTAGGTCTTTTAGAGAGACTACTTCACTACACGCTTCTTACGGTATTTTAATTGTTCGCCACGATCTGGGCATAACCTGAACGCCGCCATGTTGGCCTGTCAAGGCATATCAAAGAGACAGAAACATTTACTGAGTCTGAATTCCAGTTCTCTTTCAAACTAAACCGAATTTCGATATGACAAACCTTTACCCCAAGTCTAGGAAGATGGAAGGAGATTCTGCGCGCAGGGTAACAAACCTTCGAAGGGCTTTTCTGAAGAGGTCAATTATAAACTTTAGAGCTCAGTTAACCAAATGAACCAGTCATTTGTTGGTCTTAGATTTATTTTAAAAGTAGAAAACTAAACTAGGTGGAATTGTTCAGTAATGCAAGCCGGTAATATCTTTACGGTTATTATTCAGAAGGCTTAAAACTACCCAAGAAAATTTTCGCCAAGAAAGTTCGTTATTAACTAACACCAAATTTACAATTGGGCGCTCTTTTTACTCAAGCGTGAACGCGCGCACAGTCGCTTGAACAACTATTAGCATGATAAAGAATAAAGCCGCAAGCTAACTGAAATTCTATTTGCATTTGTTGAGATTGTGTTGATACAAGGACTGAATTCGTAAAGTGTATGCGGTAGCGGCGGGAAAAGAAAGACTATGTTATTATTAAAGGTTCAGTTTTGCGAGCGGTAAAACTACGAGATATATAAAAAAGCAGTAACTTAGGGTGGGGTGCGCTATTTTCAGGTTTTACTATTGCTTAAGGAAAAATATTTGATCTAATTGTTTGATTCCTTGTGGCACTGCTATATTGATCGCAAAACCGAAAGAACAATTCTGCTAAAAAAAATTGTGGATTGTGTATTTCCCTACGGAAAGTAAAATGAAACAAAGATTTTTGTTGATCGTGACTTTTGTAATAATTGGTGGCTCCTAAAGGAGCCGTTTTTGTTGTGATTTAAAGCTTATTTAAGCTTTGGCTTTCTTCTCGGTCTTCTTTGGCAGAAGTACAGCCTGGATGTTGGGAAGAACACCTCCCTGTGCGATGGTGACACCGGCGAGCAGTTTGTTCAACTCCTCGTCATTACGGACAGCCAGTTGAAGGTGACGGGGGATGATTCTTGTCTTCTTGTTGTCACGAGCAGCGTTGCCCGCCAACTCCAGGATCTCGGCGCTCAAATATTCGAGCACGGCAGCCAAGTAAACTGGAGCACCGGCGCCAACACGCTCAGCATAGTTGCCTTTGCGGAGAAGACGGTGGATACGACCAACTGGGAACTGAAGCCCTGCTCGGGATGAACGGCTCTTGGACTTAGTGCCCTTTGCCTTTCCTTTACCGCGACCAGACATGTTTGATTTGAATTTGCCTTCACGAAAGTTGTAGAAGATTAGCAAAACTAGTCTCAGATCGTGATATTTGTAGCTTATTTTTTATGCAAGAAGGATCGAAAAGCACCAATCAAATCTTTGTTGATCGATATAGCATTTCAAAGGACCTTTGTATTTGCATGCATTCAAAAGAGTATTAACCTCGAGGTTTGTCAGAGTATTGTAATACGCTATCAGGCTGACCAATCACTGATCGCAAATTTCGATCCGTATGTTAATCGATCTTTTAGTCTTTCTTGTATAAATACGAGTTACGTCGAGTTGTCAGGTATTTCAAATCCATTCTCATCTACAGACATGGCACCCAAAGTTGCAGGAAAGAAAGGCGAGAAGAAAGCCGGTAAGGCAAAGGCCGCAGCTGATGGAAAGAAGAAGAGAAGGGGAAAAAGAAAGGAAAGCTATGCTATCTACATCTACAAGGTGTTGAAGCAAGTGCACCCTGACACTGGTATCTCCAGCAAAGCCATGGGCATCATGAACTCGTTCGTCAACGACATCTTCAAGCGCATCGCCACCGAAGCTTCCCGCCTTGCCCACTACAACAAGAAATCAACCATCAGCTCCCGCGAGATCCAGACCGCCATCAGGCTGCTTCTGCCCGGTGAACTGGCCAAACACGCCGTGAGTGAAGGAACCAAGGCTGTGACCAAGTACACCAGCAGCAAGTAAACTCACTTTGTGGGTTTCCCGCCAAAACAGACGGCTCCTTTAGGAGCCACCAAATGTTGTAAAAATCAATGACTAACAGCTCCTCT